TGTCCAGACTTGAGCCAGGCCCCCACCATTGAAATCGCCTCCTTGAGAAAAGAGACCATCCGGCCCGTCTTCAGATACAAGAGAACAAAGAAAAAGGTTCGCCGGCCCGCTCGTTTTCTCAAATTCTTTGTTGTGTCCCTCTGGTCCTCTTCATCATCATCCTCCTCCTCCTTGCCAGCATCACCTGTTTTTGTGTGTGTGTGCATAGTGGCACAGTAGGAAGAACGGCAAAGAAATTCAAGTGCCGTGTCACGAGAGCTCCGAGCAGCCCGGACAGCGCCGCGTCGGTGCGCTGCAGCCGCAACTACACTCTACCAGGTAGCGGGCGGGACGCCGCGGCGCCACGCGCGAGAGGCCGTCCATCATCCATTTATCCGCGCATCCATTTTCGGGCTGCGGGCGGGGCGCGCTCTCGACCCTCGGGACACTTTAGGGCCTTCCGTTCACCCGCCGTGCGTGTTTTGGGGTACGCGGGAGGAAAGAGGAGCACCCGGGGAAAAGCGGGCCCAAGGCCGGAACGGAACGCCTCGCCTCCGCGTTGCGAGGCGGACGCGCTAACCCGTAGCGCGCCAAAGTCTCGGTGCGGCGGGAAAATGAAAGCCACCGAGACCTCGGTGGCTTTTTCACGGGTGCTCCTTGCCACTTCATGCTATGTCACCACGTGCCCATTCGTGCAAAGCGTGACACCTCCTTTCCGATTCTGTCCGCACCGCATCGTCACGGCGGCGTGTCAAATTAGCCCGCGGCATTCGCTGGCCATGCGTGGTGAAGCCAAACAAAAGAGGGCGGGCGGTGTGAAAAGCCAACTTCCTCGTTGCGGGGGAAATCATTGACTTTGCTCGGCCGCTCGATGATGGAGGAAGTTGGCGGAAGCTGGAGGGAATCTCTCTTCGCTCTTCCGTGTGACTCCAGAGCCCGTGCCCGACTTCTCACTGTCTGTGGATCGCGCATCCAAATCCTTCAACGTCACGGTGCGGTCGGAGAGCAAAGTCGGCGCGAGGTGGTGCTACAAGCAGAGCGCGCACTACTGCGTCCAACGCCGCCCTTCCAACATCACCGTTGTAAGCGTCGCCGGCACGCGCACCGACTTCCCAGCGCCAAAACCAAACCTTTCATGTATGCGTGATGATTATTCTGATTCTTTTTTGTAACTTCCAGATCGATCCGTCTCGGACCCGCTCGGCCCTGCTCAGCTTCCCGTACGCGCTTCCTTGCGTCTGCGTGCAAGTATGTTCGTCTCCCGTCCATTTTCACGCCGCCGCTCCGCACGAGTCGCCGATCTCGCTCGACATCGTCGTCATCGACCGAATGTGAACCGCGGTCCCTCTCGCCGGTGAGTACGCCGGACAGCGCGCGTGAGAGAGTCGGCCGCCCGCGGTTTCGGCTTTTTGTCCCCGACGCCGGCACGAATGCTGTCATTCGGTTGCGAGAGCGGCAACGGGCGCCGATGCGGGAACGCCGATTTCCCGCTTGCGGCGGCCTCGGTCGCGGCGCAAACGCGTGCGGCCTGTCGGCAGACGCGGGCGACGCGTGGCTGTCTTCCGCCGTCACGCTGTACGAGTCCAGCCTGACTTGGAGCTCGGTGTGCCCCGCCCGCGGCTTCCCCGTCTCGGCGTCCCTCTGCTGGAGGCTCGGCCCGGACGTCTGCGTCCCCTCGCCCGACTCCGCCCTCCCCGCGCGGGAAGACGGCACCGACCTGGTACTTTGCTTTCGCCCTCGCGGGCCTCTTGCCGACATCCCGCGAGGTCGACTCACGGAGCCCGCCCGCCGTGTGCCCCCTCGCAGATCTTCGACATCTCCGCGGTGGACCGACACCCTCGGATCTGCGTGAAGGTGAGACCGCCCGCCCGCCGCCGAGATGGACCCGGGCGAGCGCCATTGCGGCCTCCGAGTGGAACGTGCCCCCGATGTCTCGCTGCGGCCCCGTTTCCTTTGTTTGCTCGCCCCTCAAAGAAACGCGGGGCTCCCGGTTTCAATGCAGACGGCAATCTTTTGCAACTCGTCATGCTGACCTTTGATTGC